TTTTTTTTTTTTTTTTTTTTAATCATAACAAAAGCTTAGCAACTAAAAGATAAAGTTAAGGTATGATTTTAGCTATTACAAGAATGAAACTTCTCTACGAGAATCGTTGAAAATCGCGACCACGATAGGTGGTAAATTGGAAAATCGAAATTGTTGTTGTATTTTCTTTAATCAAATTTTAAATAGTTTGTGTATTTTTATGGCAACAAAAATATTTGTGTATTTTTCTAACAAATATTAAATAAGTAAAGTTTTCCTCGAAAATTTCTCCATTGGCTACATTATTTTCCTCACCAAAACTACAAGTGAAATTAAAAAAAAGATTCTGCAAAATCAATTTGCCAAAGGCTCAGGTTGGTTCAACCAATCAAACTCACTCTTTGGAAACACTTTAAAATTGTTATCCACTGACCTATCGATCTTAACATTAATTCTCCACAACACAACTTTACTTTCCATTTCCATGCCATTGATTATGTATAGCCTCCGAAGCAAACCCTTAAGGAATCTGTACTCACAAGTCATGTACCAATCCCATTGTTTCTTCACAATGGTTTCAAGATCTCTGAAAGCTCTCCTCACAAGCCCAACTTCCATACCTCTATCCACAAGCTCTTTCACAGAATCTATCATCTTATGAGCAATCTCCTTAACGTATCCAGCGTGACTTTTGATCTCTAGCAAGTGAATAGCTGAACAGTAGGCACCTGTAAACGTCAAGACCCAGCTACTGTTATCAAATAACAACTCTTTTGGTGGATCTAGCCATCTGTGAATCTCTGGAAGAAGATTAGCTATTGCAGGAACCACTAAGTCTTTAAACTCAAGCTGCATTGTTAAACATTGGAAGATATAAACAGCTTTCTTGAACTCTTCTTTGCTTTCTGATGCAATGTAGTCCCATAGATCAAACCATGGATCCTTTTCGTAGTTGAACATTTCTTGTGCAACAAGGAACACTACCTGACCAAGAACCCTATATATGTTCTCTGGCATCCCTTCTTCCTTTAGGCATTTGATAAGCAATGGCTGAAGATCTCTGATCTCTGAAACGTTTATTTCCCATTGGTTTGACTTGTGATCACAAAGTGCATGGAAGAGTCGTCTGATAGCTATCTCTTTGGACTTGTAATCAGAACCAGATGTTGCAAAGGAACTCAAGACTTCCATCGGAGTACATCTCCAAAACTGGTAGTACAATTCACGGTCATATTCTACTCCGCTATCGTGAAAAAGGTCGAGTTTCAAGGAAGAATTGGGAACATACTTGTCCAATTTCGTAACCATTACAAAGAGTTCCTTGGCAGCTTCCTTGGTATTCTTCCCAACTCCAGAGATCGCGTAAGCAAACGCTGCCACGAAGCCGCATTGTTTAGTACTCCATTTGTACCATTTAGCGTCTTTCGCAAGGAAGCTCTCGAGATACTGAATCCCTCCTATAAGAAACTCTCTTTCCATCCCCATCCACACAACGTCAGTAGCAGATTTCAGAACATTTTGAAGTATCTCTCTTGTCAGATCGACTCTCATCTCGGTATCCATACCATAGATCCCTATTTTAACAGCAGCTGTCAAAGCCAAAATCCAATCTCCTTCTCTATCTTTCTCAGGATGAAGCAAAACCTTGTACACTTCCTCACGGAACTTATGCAAGAAAGGGTTAATGAATTCCCTGTAAGGCAACTCGACAAAGTAACTAAAAGCCCTAATCTTATCTTGTTCCACAAGTAAGAGTATATAATCACTTAACTCTTCCCATCCATCATTACCAGAGATCATAACGTTATAAGCAACGAAGAACAATGATTCTCAAGAAGTCAGTATCAAACCTTCTAGGGTTTTGAACTGTCAAGCAAGAAATCAGAAGTGGTTTGATCTCGTCAAGAACGAGGCCAGAGATCTTGAAGCTACGGTCTCTTAACTCAGTGAGGGTTTCAGAGAGGTAAGAGATCGTTCGGAGTCTCACGAGTTCGTCTGAAGAGAATCTATAGATCTTGAGAAGCTTTATGATTAAGCAGTTTGGGAAATTAGAGATGCAGAAGTCGTAGAGGGTACGAGCTTTTATGTACTCTTCGGTGTCTCGACGTGTATAGAGGTTATTGACGAGCGTCACTAAACCTTCGTGGCTTGAAGTCGTGAGAATCTCATTGGCTTTGATGGAGAGATTTGTTGCAAAATCTTCCATTGTTGAAATCTGAAGTTTTACTTAGAAATATTTTTGGATCTTTTGTTTTAAAGAATATGGGGTTTAAGGGGTTGAAGAAAGATTTAAAAGTGGTTGCACTTTTTATGCCGAGGTTGATACGAAAGACTTGACATTGAATCCAATATTTTACTCATCTAAATATTTCAGAAAAATATATTTATCGTTTTACTCATTTTGTTCTTAAAACGTCATAATGAAATTACCTTAAATTAAAAAAAAATATATATTTTTTATATAATTTATTTTAAGAAAATAAAAACATTGATTTAATATGCAAATATTAAAACATAACTCTTAGACCAACTCCATCGGTTGATCAACTAAAAAAAGTATATATATATATATATCTTATTTTAATTATAAATTTTTTTTTTCATTTTCTTTTCTGAACCAAAGAATTGAGAAAAGGACATGTGTACAAAACAAAGCAACGCAATCTCTTTCTCTCTGGAAACTCGGTTCTCTCTTTTTTAGAAAAAGAAAAAAAAAAAGAGAGAAAAAAGAAAAGCTCTCTTTTTCCTCTCTCGGTGCTCTTGTGGTTTCATTCTAGGGCTGCTGCGGCTTGTCCCGTTCTGGTTCGGGATATCCGTCCTTCTCCTTTGGGGAGGTTTGTTCTGAATTTCTCTTCTGCGCTCGGTTTCGCTTCCCCCCCTTTTTTCGATCCTTTTTCCTCTTCTTTCTCCCTCCTTTTCCTTTCTCGGGCCTGCGCGCCTTGGTTGTTGGTCTTTTGGCCTTGTATAGCGGGGCCTGCGTGCCTTTGTGAGCCCTAGTGGCTGTGTATGTTTTTTGGAGCCAGCGTCCCTTTGGTCGTTTGGCGTGTAAGATGTTTGCCTCTTTTGCAGTAAAATTAAAAAAGAAAAAAAAAAACATTGTAAGAAACATTTACTAGCTTTCGACGTTTTTCTCTTTTAAAAAAAAAAAAAAAAAATCTTTTTCTCTCTCCAAATTTTCCTTTTTTATTAATTTTAATTTTTGAGTACCCTTCTTTAGCAACTCCACTGGACATGCCCTTAGAATCTCTTAGACCGTTTCTTTTTTACGACATTGTGGACAATATCAAGAATCGATAGGGTTTAGGACATTGTGGACAATTGAATTCAATTCCAACTCCAATGATGTTGAAATTAAAATTGCAATTAAGTTTATCAAACACTTTAAAGAGACGTAATTCTTTTTCAAGTTTCCATATGAGTTTGAGATGAGGAGTATTAGTATCATTACACTATATCAGAATTAGTTAATTTCAGGTGTTGCGGTTGCAAGGGTGGATAACTTTCATGCTTATATTAATACTACTTACACTACAAGTAACCCATGAAATTGAGTTTCTTAAAGACTACATGTGGATGAATGTCATGCTGATCAGAGCTAAACCAAGTTGAAGTTTGAGAAAATGTGCACACGGAATTGGAACAAATTTAAAAGTTTAATCCGGAATTTCCAACTTTCGGTTTGATTTGATGTAGAAGTTACTTCATCTCAATGCCAAATTGGAAATTTAAACCAGAAATTTTGATTATTCAATATTTTTTGATTATTTAATCCTAATATAAGGTACTTTCTTAAGGAAATTTAAGTCTTAAGATGCTACCATTGAGGATGTCCTAAGTTGTATAGTGACCGTTAGTTTTAGCTAAATGCAATAACAAATACTAGATTTTACCCCGTGGTACACCACGGGGCCAATATTTTATGTATATCTATTATGTAAAATTTTAACCGTTTTAGTTTATGTATACGTACGATTAGATTCATATTTCGTTTAGCATAGTCTTTGATTGTCAAAACGAATAACGTATCCTACATGGTGTATATATATCAAAGAATATGCTAATGCATACCTAGAGCACGGGAAAATTTCTGGTTTTTTTATAAACGAAAACATATTTTTTGGTAGATTTATTTGGTTGTGTTGATAATTTTTCATTATTTAAAATAGTAGTGATTTGATGGTCGAAATAATAGAGGATGGTTTAATGATAGTTTGCAGTTATAATGGCTAATAATATTTGTATATTAATGAGAAATAGTGTGTAAGAAATGATTTGAATTTATACTTTTCTAATGGGCTAGAATTTACCCTGTGGTACACTACGGTCCATTTTTAATATAATTTTAGTGATTTGTATTATAATTAAATGATTTTTTTATTTTTAATACTAATGCTACATTTTACATATATTTTGGTCTATTTGCAATAACTAACAGTATTTATTGTTGAATATATGAGGGTTGAATTATTGAAAGAACTCAGTATGTGTATTTATAAAAATAAAAATACTATTATTAAGCTCAGTTTTGCTAAAATAATGGTGTACGTGTAAAACCACAGTTTGTAAATACATATAAATTTGTAAGACATATTTGGAACTTATTACTGAATATATATGAGTTAAATTTGAAATAAACATAAGTATTAGTATATATATAAAAATGTA